CAGAGTACGAACAAGGCAGAGTCCACAATGCCTAGGCAATCTGCATTATTGGAGCGCTCTTCTCTTGTTAATACATCCCTTAGCCCTGACCAGATCTTCCGATTCTCTGTGCTCAAAATTCCAAGAGCTCCCTTAGCGGCCTCTTGGATCGGAGTCTGGACTGCATCATCAATGATTGTTTGTAGGTTGATTGCAACATCTCTTTCACTCATGATTAGGTCAGAGTTATCATCGAGGACGTCGAACCAATAAAATTGACCATGGCAAAGCACAACAACATGCTTCGAATCGGGGTCCTGTTCGATTTGGCAACCGTGGTCTGTGGGGACACGGGCCGTTCCGAAAAGCCGCGAATACTGATACATACAAAGCGGCTTTCCTCTGATGTTGTCTGGTGGTAGTTCCTCACGGCGCACCGCCCGGACGAATTCCAAAGCCGACACTACCAGAGACGCTGCGCGTGTCACCTGATTATTTCTTGCAGGCGTCGGGTCATCTTCCAGCAGGAAAAAAGGGTTCAAATTGAGAACGACAGGATTGTCATAATTCAGATACGAATCGTACCCTATTAAGATAAGTCAGCACCATGCTACCATTAGTCCACGGCATCCACTAACAGAATTGTTCTATGAAGCTACTTTTGCCGAGCGCATAGTTTTGAAGTTTTTCTTGAAGATCTGGCCCGTCTGACTTTAGGAAGTCTTCCACTGCTATCCTGGTTTCTGTGTGCTCCCGAGGCCCCTGTAAAGGCCTCAGGGCAGCAAGATACCTCCTACAAGAGCTCTCTAGGTCAGGGATGGGCAGTTTCGGTAGATCATCTTGGGCGGCAAAGGTGAGGCCACCAGAGGGGTGTTCGGGGATTGCCGTTGTCATGGGCATTTTGGGAGGTAGTCTGAGGTCTGATGCGTGCCCGTTGGTGAGTTTTGTTGTAGACCTAGGCAATGACGTAGGTGAAGTTGATGCAAGAGTCTCACCAAGAGACTTTGGCATAGAAAAAATCCGAACTTGAGTGGGCATTCTGTCAGCTTGTGCTAGAGGTTATCAAGCGAATAGAGGCGAGACAAATGTGCAGATATTCAAGCCGCGCAGGGCTGTGCGGTAGAAATAATGACAATCGTAAAGACAGTAGGCGGGCATCCCAAGAGAATCTCCACTTGGTAGCTATACCTATTGTGACGATCGACAGAGACTGGATGAGGCCATGCGGAGAAGAGGAGATGGAGAGGGAGATAAATAGGACGATTGAGACAAGATATAAAGCATCTATCAAGGTATAGTACAACACACAGCACGTCAGAGGGAACGATGCAAAGGTAACGTCGACAGATGGCACGATGGGGTGGATCTAACGGCTCGCATCCCGAGAGCGCGCGAGAGACGAGTCCAAGGCGAGGCCCATTATCACATGTATTGGTTGGGGTGTATGCCAGTTGGAAGGGATGTTGCCTCGAACGTTAGCCACAGCCAAGCGGCGTGATTGGGCCGGGGGGGCTGGATAGCCTGGCTACTCATCCGCATGGCCGATATTACACACAAAACCACCAAAACAAACGCAGAAACCCGGTAAATCTGCCGAGAGGGCCTTGGATGAAGGCATATCGTGTAGAGGACAAAAGTAATTATCACATACCTTGGAACACGATAACCGAGCCAATCCTGCAGGGAACTGGGTCGGCCCTCAACCACTCAACTCAACGCGTGCAGCTAGGAAATAGAGAGTAGCTAGCTAGAGCAGGGCCGAGCGAGAGACGCTACAAGCACACGGGGATAGCACGTACGCACACACGCACAGGCTGATTTCCTTCTCCTAGAAGAGAATAAACAAACTAACAGTCAAGGAATGAAAGTAGGAGCCGGCAACTGCGGCAGTGCTCGGGTTTTGGATGGTGATAGTGCTGTGCTATTTCCTCGGTCCTACCGTCGCGTAGGTCATGAGGTCGGGCGAGCGCTGAATGGCGATGAGAGGGCTAGCCAATACAGAACGGTACCGCCACTGCAGCATGACCTTGGTCTCAGTGATAGACTCTATGTTGTGTACCTACCTACACTAACACTCTCCAAAGTCTCCAAAGTGCCACAATCAGCTGAAGACCCCACCGAACCTCAGTCCCGGTGACGACAAGTGATGGGTTACCAACCCCACGGGGGGCAAGCCTTGGTTGCAGGCGTCGTAGATCTGGAGCGAGGAGATGCTTGCTACCCGCCGCGTGGAGGTTTGATCCAGCGTGGGTCACTCTCGGACGAGTGGGTGTGCTCTGGTTGGGCGGGTTCGGAGGAACGGCGCGGACAACGACTCAACGAGCAGAGAACGAAGACGAGCCTTGTCTATATCGAGAAGAGAAGAAAATAGAATGGATGGAACGCAAAAGAACTTGGGGCTATCTACTCCTCCCGCCAATACCGACGACAACACCAACGCTGGCTGACGCTGACACTGACACTGATGCGATTAACTATCCAATAGATAGATAGTGCCTAAAATTAGCGAGCAACAGCTGGTGGCTAGGTACTAGATAATGAATGGTATGCCGTAACATAGGCCGGATGCTCTTATGTATAAAGCGACTAACGGATAGCATTCGAAACCGAAGCCGTATGCGTATGTAGGCACAGCAAACCACAACTTATCCCAAAAGCTTTGCTTCGCCAGGCGATGATGCAACTTTCAATGTGTCAGTGTCAGTGTGTCAGTGAGCGGGAACTGGGGAAGGAAAGGCAAGGTGGGGTTTGACCCGAGTACCTAGCCTGAGCCAGCGAGCTGGACGAACCAGTAACCCTGGCCCCATTACTTAGCAGGCTACCTCTAGGCCACCCACCCTTCGCTTAAAGGTATCGCTCACCGTTCCTATACAAAGTCTGTATGTAAGTACTTAGATATCATGCCATATGAGAATCCATTGATCCGGGTCGGAGTCTAGATAAGCTTAATAGCTATCTAGAATGGTACCGACAATAATAGGGGACTTGGCTTCAATCTAATTTCCACGGTCCACGGCAAGACAAGATTCGCGGCATGTCACAAGCTTTGGCAGGTTGGAGAAGAAATGGGTATGATGCTGTAACCATGCTTGTGGTAAAGAAAAGGCGCCGTGTCACTGCTTCTGCTGTTGCATATGAGCGGTGGCATCCATGTTACCTGCCAGCCTAAGTAGGTGCATACATAGGTGCTCCGTAAGTACGCATACCTACCTTCCCTCGCATCAAGCATGGCCAGCAGCCTTACAATTGCGGGGGATTATAGGTATCTACGGCACATAGTGTAGCAGAGATAGTGGGGTTAGAGTCCACTCTGCTGTGTTGAGGATTCTTTGGAGCAATCTGACCAACTGAGGGTAGCCCCTGTTTACTTAATACAGCTATCGCCACGCCACAAAGCTGCTACACCACCGCTACCTACCAATAAATTTCACAACTTATATAAGTTAAGCTGTAAAGTTTGGTAGTTAATTGTGTGGCGTAGTGGTAGGGTAGTGGTGAGGCGCGGCGATAGCTGTATTAAGTAGTTCGAAGGTGATTTCTAGATTCTTTGGGGCAGGCCAAGCTCGGGTCCTACTTGGGGTTTGGGGTGAAGCCCAGCATCCATCAACCCTGCTATGATATCAAGTCCTACGGCACACCTAATGTCAGGTAATTATCTTTAGCTAGCCATGAATCTCAATACCAATGTCAAAATAGAACGAGCCCTTTAATAGGCTAAAACTAACGGAAAATTAGTCTCATCCCTTGCATTTACGATCGTGCTATCGAAGGTTGAGATCGTGACGTGCAGCTATGGCTAGATCCGTGCTTCGACATGTGTGCCATCTTGCGCGAATTCGACAAAGCATGGTGACAAGACTAGGGGTTATAATTTCTTTTTTTTCTTAGGTTGGCCCATCTATTTCTATACCACCTTGTTTTTACCATGTCTCTGTCCACGTGCATTCTTTTGCCTACCTGACTGGTCTGAACTACACTACATGGCTCGGCTGGCGTAATCACATGCACTCTGACGGCTACTTCTACCTGTATATACGCTTTGCTCAGGATACCCAAACATTCTTGTTGAGATTTTATTCTCGACGAAGGGAGATTCTCGACGAGTTTACTAGCTTTTAAATAACACACTGAGCAACGTCGTTTTTTCAAAGATGTGAAGTCCATTGAAACACTTGCGTCGGTTGTAATAATTCATGAGGATATTTTATGAAAAGGCCACTACTAGCTATTTCTATGCTCTGCAATTAGAGTTGGCATGAAGGCTTTACCGTAAGCCGACTATATACCTTACTTCGGGTCCAAAGAAATGAGCGAGCATAGTAGTGTCGTTGTAGAAGTAATGGAGTAGGCAAGATAGAAAGTCGATGTTGTACGGTATTGAGTACTCATGAGATAGGTGATAAATTGGCCGTCCCAACGACGACCAGTTGCTTCTAGAGGGTAGCTTGATAGCGGCACAGCAAGTCTATCATATCAACGAGCCTATTGCCGCATTTGAATGGATTTGATTGAATAAGGACTTAAAGTGCAAAATTTGATTGATATAGAGGATTGGTCGACAATCCCAAGGCCGAGGACCGATTCTGCCTCGCCGAGGACACCAAAAAAACGAATGAGTGTAGTATTGACGGACACACCGGTCCTGGGTAGAAAAAATAGTGCAGGCACGGGCTACAAACTTTAACATTTATCTTGGGTTAGCAATTTTGATTTTTTATCGCGATTGGTTTTGGTGGCTGGTAAAAGTTAGGTTATATGTAGGTAGGGAATGCGTTTCACTCAAAGTTAAACTAAGCAGAAAGCCCACCGAAGTTATGATAGTGTAGCAACTGGAGGTGATATCGATGTTGTAAGGTAATTGACAATTGACATGCGACCACCGTGAGGGGTTATACTATCTATCCACTGTGCCTCGTGCCTTCCCTACAATTGCTGGAAATTGCGTCTCGTTTAAATGTGCTAGTTTGCTTTGGTCTCCCATTGAACCAGCTGACCAAGCTGGTTCTCGATAGATGATAGATCTCCTGATAGCTCAGTTGGTAGAGCGATGGACTGTAATTGAAAAGAGCCTTCTCTTGGCAAATCCACAGGTCGCGTGTTCGACTCACGCTCGGGAGACATATAACTATCAATACTTTTTTGCTTATAAACCATAACACCATCCATGTACTACTCTTTACTTTTTAGTTAGTCACTTAGCCAACGTAACCTTCAATTGCATGAAATTATAGTTTCAAATAAGGCCGAATCTCGGCATATGACCCGGTGAACGCCCTCGGCTCAGCTGTTCGGAGCCGAGATCTACACCGGTGAAGACATTCAGACCAGTTCCAGAACATCCCGATTCAATTCTAACTTCATCCGTACATGATGCAAAGTACAATTTGGTTAGACTAAGGCGTAGAATCATAATAATGAGGTTGGGCTGTAGTTCCCTCCCTACAAAATAAAGAAATCGATCTTTTGGTTTGAGACTACAACAACTGCTACGTAGTAATTATAAATAAATATAGAGATAGCACCATAATGCTAGAAGTTAATCTATCCACCGTCAATCCTATGTATGCACCTAAACATGTGCTTCGTTGCGATCTGCAGACCTGGTTAGAGACGCAATAAATTAAACCTGTTTGTTGATGCAGGATAACTACCAGAATAGGTTTAGACCCGCCACCCGCGCGTGGCATTGCTACCCGCGAATAACTTCAGCCCAATTGACGTACTCATGGCGTGTTCAGCTCATACATATAAACCATGAGCCACAAGGCTCAAAGCCCCAGTACCTGGGCTCATACTCACAATCCTTTACACCACCGCTCGTTTCGCCATGTCAGATAACATCTGGCTTGAGTTCCGATTGCTTAGCGATGGCCTCGAAGCGGACGCGGTCATGACATTGCCATTGACGGTGTGGAATGAGAGACACAACCCGATCTTCCATCTATTCTCTTCCCTGCCTCCAGAACTTCGCCTCAAGGTCTGGAACTACCTGATCGTGCCGCGAATCGTGGGGATAGCATGTCGTGAGTTACTGTCTACGACTCACTTGTCACTCCCCCTCCCTCATCGCTCACGTGCTTTCCGTACCCCAGCTAAAGTATACACTCATAAATACATACCTACTCACCTAACGCAAATTAGTCTACGACGAAACACAGCGCGATGAAGTCTGGGCGCCTCACTCCGCAATCCGCCCCTCAATCCCCGTTCTCCTGCACGTGAACCAGGAAACCCGGGCTCTGGCACTCGAGCACTACGAGCTGAGTTTCTCGTGGTCGCGCCCCCAGCAATCCGACATCCGGGCGTGGAATCCCCCGGGCCTCCTCCCGCTCTCCATAGCCGCGCTGCCCATGTCCTTCTTCGCCGCGCAGGCCGCCGTCGACCGGCGCAGCAGCCCGGCACCAACCCGGCCCTCGAGCTCGCCGCCCCGCACCTGGTTCAACTTCGCCCTCGACGCCGTGTACCTCGTGGGCGATCTAGAGCCGTGCGACATGGGGGGGATCAACAGACCCATGCCGTATTTCCTGGAGGCGCGGACCGCGCGGAGGGTGAGGAAGACGGCGGTCTCGTTCGGCGCGCTGAGGTACCGCGGCACGGGCCCGCAGCAGATCTTCGGGGCCCTGGCGCATGTCGTGGACCGCTTTCGGCCGGAGGATAGGGAGGTGCTGGTGTGTGTTACCGAGCGTGACGAGGTTAGTTTGCTGGAGTCTTTTATTTTATTCACCCAATTCCCCTTTTGGAGTGTCTGGGAGCCATAAATTCCCTTAACAGGTCCTTTCTGCTCCTAATACTCCTACAACCCTGAGCAAATTCTATCATGAGTAGAAATTATTGACCCCAGTCTAATAAATAGTTCACGCATGCGCTGATGGGGCATAAGACGGGTTTGGTGGATGAGTGCTATCGCCACCGGGGCGCGATGCGCCGGTTGAATGCAGATGCAGATGCTGAGGCAAGGCCGACATATAATGTCTTGCAGAACATATGGCGCGATTGGTATTTTCTGACTAACCATACGCCGTTCGTAGCGAATATGCGGTTCCCGCTCATCCCGGAGAACGACCTCGCGTACCATGTACACGAGTTTATGACGGCGACTCCGGTGAAGCGAGCGAGGAAAGAGGAAGGCAGCACGGTAGAGTCAAGCAAGCAGTAAAACCCAATAATACACGTCTTTCAACGCATCAAGTGTGATCTCTCATACAAAGAATATCTGTATTCTAGACCTCCTTCTGAGGATTGAGTGGTGACTTAGTAGTACACTGGCTTGCCTCTGCCTGCAATTTTCCCCTCCTGCCTGCGAGTCGGCGATGAACACGCTGTAATGGAATAGTCTCTACATCCAGCCTTTCAAAAATCAAAATAATGCTACATGCAAACCGTAAAACGCCGCATTGATGATACATATTCGTCATAATCACCGTAATCCTTTCGCGGGGTCTTTCTCACTGACAATTTCGAATAGAGCGGGAAGCGCGCCTCCATTATCAGATCGGCCCTTGATACCGCCTAACAGCCAGTCGGTCAGGCCGACCATCCGCGCGCCAACGCCTTTCTCCCACTCGCCGTGCTCATCGACGTGCTCAATGGTATGACTTATAACGCGACCGTCTTTGTCGAACTCGAAGACGAAGAGACCCGTGAAGGCCTTCTTTTCACCCACAGCCTGGGACCCACGCAGGTGAGCGTCAAGGTTCTGCTCCCCTCGCTCTGCTAGGCTAGGCTTGGAATCCCCGTCTGGCTCGCTGGAGGAGGCAGTCCGCCATTTGACCACGAGCTGTTCCCCGTAGGCTCCTGGGCGCCGCGGCGAGAAGTGTAAAGGTTGGCTGACCATGCGCTCAGATAGGATTTCTAACCGGACGTTGCCGACGATGGGGACGCGGTTCCATGCGATTGGTGATGTCCATAGCGCGGCGATGTATCCAACTCGGCCGGAGACTGTAGGGAGGTATGGGTGTGTTGAAGGGAATAGGTGGAGGGAGACGTCGGGCGAAAGGATTTCTTGCGGTAAGGGCGATTGGAGGAGGGTCGGGAGACGTTCTTGGAGAATGCGGAGAGCTTTTGCGGGTGGTGTTAGTCTGACTGCAGCTATAGAAATATCTTCTCAGATTTATTACTTACTTTTTCCAAGCTTGACCTTGCGTTCGTTTTCGGGCTTTGCTGAACTCTCACTATCGGCTATCAATGGGGCGAATTGTGGTATGGTTGAGTTGAACCATATTGTCGTTGATGACGACGATAACGTCGCGGGGATCGAAGTAAGAGAGGTTGAAGCGCCACTCGGCCGTCGTAGAGGTGCGAGAGAAAGTGATGTAGGATTATTTAATATTGTTGTAGGTGCCGTGGCCCGAGAGGCTGCGATAGTCGGAACCCTTGGGGCCAGAGCATGGCTGGATGCGCGAGCAACACTGACACTATTGCTTAAGGACATGAGTCCAGGGCCACCACGGTGGTACTGAGATCAAGCATGAATTCGATTAGAGAACAAGGGATCAGAAGCATAAAGCCTAGCATATACTGCTGGCTAGAGCCATCAAGTAGGGTTGACGAGGGTTGAAGGTTTCAAGATGACCTTGTCTTCTTTGGGCCAATCTTTCGGGGTTCGGCTATCTATATCGCAAGTAATACTAGGTATGATGTAACTGAAGCTCTTTTTTTTTCATACCAGCATCTTTAATATAGAATTTCAGAGACAAGGCGGCACACTAGCGCGGTGCCCCACCCGTCAAATCCCCCACTGGAAACGATTAACAGGGCCTACTCACCGCTGGCACTCCAGGTACCTACCTACTATACCACTTGGACTAACTAGGTAGCTATCTACAGTACAGCCAGATGATATCTGGGGTTGGGAGTGGGAATGTACGCTATATTTCATCCAATAAGAGCCTACTATTAAGTGCTTCTTTCCACGTTAATACCACAGTAAGTAATTTTACTGTAAACCATTCCGTCTGTGCACAGAACATCAAGCACAGGATCCCCTCTGCTTTAAAGTTAGGGCTCACCATTCATATATCTAGCTAGGTAGGTACATGATTAAATTGAACTTTATTGAGTACTTATCAGAGCTTGAAGAACTCTCTAGATCTTAACATTTGTTCCTGCATTTTCTATCCGCAATTCCTATGTAGGGTTGCTATGCACTTTTGGACCGGAATCTATCCATGATTTTAACAGCTACCCAGACTGGGATTTGCAGGTAATACCTTGCGTCATAAGCTTATGTAAGAGCTCTTAACCCATCAATTACCACTTTAGGTCCCTAGGTACGCTGTATGTGAGTATAAATGGTCTAGGTATCCGCGTGATAGAAGGATAATGACGAGGTATACCTACATATACATACATGGAGATCAGCCGCATCATGTGAGCATAGTCATGGATACATGTAGGAGATAAGGACCAGTGAACCACTTAGGTACATTACCATCGAGTTCGTTATCCATGAGTTATTTGGAACCTGGTTCTTTGTTGATCTGCCTTATCGTCGGCAAACGGATTGTTTCGGTGAATGGCCCATAGTTCTTGCAAGAAAACGCTGTAGGCCCAGTGATGATGGTGTGCGAGATGCAAGGAAGCCCGTGGTGACATCCTGTGTGTATGCTGTAGATTAGGTACACAGTGCTGTATCAGGTGGATGGTAGGCTAGGTACAGTGAGTGAGGCGTGCAAGCCCCCAAAGGTTCCTAGTTAAGTAGATAGGTACATACACACAGACTGTAGAAGTGCAGGCTGTTTAGGTACCTCACCTAACCTAACCTTGTAGTCGGGTGGAGCCTCAGTCACCCACCTCTTGCCCATTACTGGTCTGGCGTGGCCAGCCGGTCTTCACACTCCCTGACGTTCCGTGACGACCATAGGAGCCTACAGATACCACGACGCCTTGTCTTAATTCTTCTTTCTACATCATCTTTCCGAACCACGAAAACAACATCGAAATCCCCGGCCACCACAAAATAGTTGTTGTTGCTCTGCCGCTCGATAGTAGCCATAGCTATTTACTGCCCCGGCCTGCTATATTTAATCGCTGGTTATTTTACTCGCCCCCCTGATCGACTCTTGCCTCCTGTCCGCTGCGTCCCTCGACAACCGCATCGCCCATCAACATGAATCCTG